ACTGAGGTATCCGGGGTTGCCAAAATTTGCAGGACACTTTAAATTTGGGGTAGACACAGCAATACCTATTTCTTGGATCCCTTGAAAAATTGTCTCTGGAATTCACTATCTAGGCCAGGGCGCTTTTAGATTCCCTGGCCTAGTGATACAGTTACTGAAGACTTAATGGTGCCACGAATTGAAGTTTGGGAACCTGCGCTCTAAGTCAGGACCATGGGTGATGACAGATGTCCGGCATTGGACAATAGGGGTGAGGGGCTAGATGGACAGGGACAGGACACCCCTTTGAGGAGAGCCTCTCTCAAGGTCTGTACAAACTTTTCCGCCTTGTTCAAGATCGACAGGAGTAAGGCAAGTATTGTGTCACTAACACATTGTGTTGGCTTTATGTTTTACAGGTTCCCTTTGAGACCCTATCCCAATGGAATCAACAACACACTGCTTTCAACGAAGTGGGACATTTCTTAATTGAAGTCAGTAATGATGAAGTTGGGTCATCAATTTCTAGAGAACTGAGAAGACTGAATAAAAGATGGAAAAAGTTTATTACAAAAACTCAGCTTGTAAGTCCTTTTTTGGTAACAACTTTACTGACATATAATTCACATACAACTACACAATTCACTCATTTGAAATGTGTGCTTTTAGTATGTTCACAGAGTGGCGTAACCATTACCACTGTCAATTGCAGAACATTTTCTTCATCCCTGAAAAAAATATTGTACCCGTTAGCCTTTACTCATCTTTCCCCCTAACGCTAGGCAAATCACAAATCCATAGATTTGCTGCCTGCGCTGAAGTTTCACATCAATGGAGTTGTAAAAGATGTGCTCTTTTATGACTGGCTCCTTCCCCTTCGATAGCGTTTTAAAGGCTCATTTGTGCTGAGCCATCTTCCAGGGTTTCACTCGTCTTTATTACAGCTCACCTTGCATTGTTTGGGGGTACCACACGGGTCTATCCATCTGTCAGTTGGTGAACATTTGGGTTGTTTCCACTTTTGAGCTATTATGATTACGGCTGTGATGAACATTTGTGCACAAGTTTCTGTGTGGAGCTATGTTGTCATTTCTCTTGCAGATATACTTCGAGTGTGCAAGTCCTTGAGCCCTTTGAAATATGCAATATTCTAGTTAAAATGAACTCTCTCTCAGAGAATAACTAAGGTTTATCCTGTACACTAGATTTCACGCTCTGGGAGTTCATGGACTGAACCTCGTATATCTTTATATTTAGTTCAGGGTCACATAAAAGCAGACCTTTGATATGTTTAAGATTTAAATCATTCTACTCCTTATTCTTAACAATATGAGACATAAGTATTATGATGGAAAAATGTTATATTTTGTTACATTCTTACTATTCTTAATCACTTCTAGAAAGTACCCATATTTGAATATATTAATATGAAAATGTAAACATTGAATTTCATATAATTAATCGTTCATAGGATATGCACCTGCCTCTTATTATAAAACAGAGTCAGTCCATTTCTGACCATTCTGGAAATATTCAGCCATCCAGAGAAGACAAATCAACTATTGATTTTTCACAGGACATGCCAATAGAAGCTCCCAAAAACCACAGTCCACATTCAAAGGTAAACATAGCTATGCATCTAATAACTGAACTTTGATCTTTTTCCTCCGTAGAGATCCATATTGTTGAAAACATCGATAAATGTGTGGGTTGATAGGAGACACTTAGAGTGTGTTCTTTTCCCAAGAATATGCTTAATTGACTCCTTCATGAACAAGCATGTAGCATTGAAATCTTGTGTCTGGTTCTGACCCACTCAGCTGTTGCTCCATTGTAGACATGCAGAAACTTGTCAAGCTGTGAACACTGCATTGGTATTACCGTCACATAACCTCTGGCTAGTCCTCTGCTGTGGAGATGATTCTACCTCGTGGGGACACGACAGGACAAAATAGAACTGCCCAGAGGCTTCCAAAGCTGTATATCTTGACGAAAGCACCTGCCATAGGGTTCCCCGATGGTAAAGTTGGTGGTCTCGAACCGCCAGCCTTTTGGTTCACAGCCCAATTTTTAGTCCAGTGTGCCACCAAGACTCCTGTTTTCTGGCTAGTGCTCAAACACTGTCTACTTTGAGGCAAGCCCCTGACTTTGTGTGCCTTATTCCTGACTGTACAGTGGGCCCCTTACAACCCCCTGACAAAAATGAATCATTTTTCCTTTCCTTTTAGGGAATTGGAAGGATACTTTTATATTATAGATAAAATATGATGGAAAAGAAATAAACTACACTACAGACAATATGTATGGAAGGTATAATTTGCCTGGGTTTAGTGTCTCCTTCTGAATAGCCATGGGCCTGGCTTTATGCACGAAGCCGCTGATAAGTGGCTTTGGCCATGCACTGCCGCCATGCTCCAGTTGCTCCCTGGCAGTCCCATTGTTGAGGAGAAAATGGCTAGGCTTTTCTTCTGACGCACCACTGGCGGACTTCACCTCTAGCCTTTGGTTGCACCGCCTAGGGCCTCCTTTCCCACCATAAGAGGTCATCATGGAAAATCTGGCAAGAAAACCCCAAGTGGGTGGTTTTATCAGCTATTGATCTTCTCCCACCCTCCGTCACACTGATCACTCACTGCCATCCAGTTGATTCTTACTCAGCGACCTCACAGGACAGAGTAGAACTGCCCCCGTGGATTGCCAGGATGGGCGCCAAAGGTCTGCATCTCAGTGCAGCTGGGGCTTTTGAACTGCTGACCTCCGGGGTAACAGTCCAGTGCATAACCACTAAACCACCACACTGACGCTAAAACCCTGGTTTCCAGGTATGAGTTTCTAGGAGGATGGCTCCTCTGTCGGCCCTGGGGGAATATCCTTGACTCGGCTTCTCCGGCCAGCATCCTGGGAATTCCTGGGCTTTTAAACTGTTGGTCTTCCTTGCGTCTGATTTCTTCTGTGCCTAAAAGTGATTGGTTTAGGACACAGCTGGAACAGATAAGGCCGCAGTCACACACAAACAAAACCCTTTTTCCAAATGGGATGACGTTCGAACACACTGCCATAAGTCCCTTCTGGCTCACAGATGCTGAAGGACAGACGAGAACTGCCCATGTGATAATGAAGCGGAAACACTTCAATTTTGTTGCATTTGATCCTGACTCTTTTTGAAGCAATTTCACTACCATTGCTTATAGCTGTAGTTGAATTAGATTCTATGTGACATTTTGGAAATGTGTTCATAGACCCAATACCCTAGCTTTATAAGCTTTGATCTTCTTGTCTGTACAAGGGAGACAGTGTGTCTGATAAGAATGATACTGTAAATAAGAAAAAAGAGAGACAAAATTTTTCATCTGTTAGGTGATTTATACTATGGTAAATTATTATCACTGTCCATTAACTAGATCTGGAATCATTAAAATATCCAGAATTAACAGTGTCCAGAAAAGAGAAAGAGAGATTTAAGCTCTTAAAACGGAAAATACTTTTTTTGAAGTCAATGTTGCCCATTTCCCGACTGATAATTTTGCATGTTGCAGGCTGGAGAAGAGCAAAGCACAGCCGGTGAAGTATCCCCAGAGCCCCTCAAACTGGGGGAAGATGTGGAAAGACTCCGGAGAGAAGTGGGGGTCTGGGAGACAGAAACCAAGTCTGTTTTGGATCTTCTCGGTCACCCAGACGGCGTGGAGGCAGCAGCAGCAGCAGCAGCAGCAGACTCTTTGCAGGTATGAATGTCACAGCGTGAAGGGGACACTTGCCATGATTGTGGCTTCACGTTCAAACACGAATTAAAAGCATAAAAGTAAATAGCAATAAGCACATGGTTTACGTATTTCTTGGTTGGAAGTTTTAAAAACGGCATGGTTTTTCATCCCTGGACCATTTGTTTAAACAGAGAAAGATAGTATCCCACGAGTCTAAGGCCGTGAACTGCTGCCACATGAATCTTGAATTAATATCTTCAAGTTTAGAATGAGAATGAAAATAGTTCCTTTTATCAGAGGGCAAGGAGGAGATGTGGTGCAGCCTCAGGTCGCCCAGCACGGTGTGAGTGTGAGGTTAGACAATGTGTGCTTTGAGAGTTCACCCCCTGAGGACGCCACTTCCCCCTCTTCTGGGATGGAGGGAGGGAGACCGATGTTGTAAGGACTCTGTTGTTGTCAGCCACTCAACTCTTGGAAAAGCAGTGAGGCAAGAGTGTGTTTTCGTGTCACTCAGCTCTCCTGGGAAAGAAGTTAAGATGAACATTTTTACTGAGCTTCAGCTCAGCTCTAAAACTGCAGAATGTGTTTCAAGTCACAAGATGGAAAGTTTCTAGAATAAAGGAGCATTGACATAATTCACCTAAGCTTCTCAAAGTGTGTGTTTCACCATTTTGTGTTTGTGAGCAATACGCTTTATTATTGCATAATATTATGTAAGCTTACTTTGTCACCTGATAGCATTTTTCTAATTTTATTTATTATGTATAATTATTTGCTCTATAAGCTTGATTTGTAGTAAAAGAAATGAAGTAGAAGTTTAATAGTTTTAGAACTATTAAGAAAATATGTTTTAAATAATAAACGTGAAATATTTGTATAAAGAAAGTACTAAGTAGATCTCTACTGCATTAAGAGACTGGAGAAAGATAATATTGTAAAGTTTGAAATGTAAGTTGCCGAACAGTTTGATGAATATGGACTCTTTGGTGATTTCTAAAAGAGAGTTGCTTTTTAAAAACTCCTTTATCTACAAAATAATGCTTGTAAGGATATGCCAATAAAGATCTTGATCCTCCAGCATTCCCAGATCCTACTGCTCTCCCTGGCGCGTGTTGTTAGGGATAAGATAGGCCAGTCCATGGCCGCATGGACAGAAGAGAACTGGCCCATCAGGTCTTGCAGGCTTTCGTTTGGGGGTTGATAGTCAATGTGTATGTGTTCTGGATAAGATTATTTTGTTTAATATTCAATAAGAATGTTTACAGTGGTCTTGTTTCCTTTTTTTGAAAATAGCATCTTCTTGCCAAAGGCTCTCTGTATGAAGAGCTTGTGGCAAGAGCTGAAGATATTCTACAGATGGATGTGCAAAATATTTTAAGCCAAGAGTCTCTTCAATATGTCCTCTCAGCAGGGCTTCAGGCAAAGATTCAAGAAATGAAAGAGAAAATTCAGGTTTTTCTTTAATATTCCCTATTTATTCTTTAAAACAGATAGTAGGAGGGTGGGGGAGAGGTAGACCGCTGCCCAGTAGCTAGCTTGAAAACACTTCGTAAAATATTATGTTTGCATTATCATTTTTCTTTATAATCTAGAACATATTGGGAAATATAGCTAATGAATTAAGTTTTTGAGGAAATAAGATGGTACTGAAAATCCTATTTCTTTTATTATCAATATCCTAAGATGTTGGGCCCCCCCCCTTTTTTTTCCCTCTATAGATCAATATGATACAGCTGGCTGCGATGCTGAAAAACTCCTCTGCTGCTTCTTCACCTGAAATGGATGTCCGGCTGAAGCTGGAAGAATCACAGAGGGAGCTCGAATCCCACATTACTAGGGCTGCACAGTTACTGGAGCCAAGAGAGAGCACCCGTGGGGAAATTTCAAAATACAAGGTGGGAATTTTTTCAACCATCAGATGCAGGGCATTTTTTTATCAGCTACTTTTCTCATTTGGAATCGAGCTATTTCTATTACAGCAATTACGTAGCAAAGTTACTATGACGTTTTACAGTATCCCAGTTTTACCCACCATTCCTCTTCTCACCACTTAAAAGGCTTGGTGTCCACATGCTGGGGCCTGCTCCCAGGGAAGGCTTTCTCTCTGTCAGCTCTGGAGGAAGGACCCCGTCTTTTGGCGTTTCTGTCTTCATGGGGCCTGGCGTCTCTCTCCCCCCTTCTCGACTTCCTACCGATCTTCCTGACTCTACTCTTGTATATCTCAAACAAGAATGTCTAAAAAAGAATGTCTCAAAATATCTGTACACTAACCCTGCCTCTGAGCGAATCGTCAGAGAAGCTGCCTTATGGGAAGAAGAATGGGGCATCAGGATTGGAGGAAGGCTCATCAACAGCCTCCGAGGCGCAGGTGACTTTAGGACAGGGAGAAGGGAGCACAGCCCAGCGGCTCCTCGGTTCCTTTACCGGAGAGCTCGAGTGAGGGGTTTCCATGTAGGACTGCTCTCCTCCTCCTGACCATCGCAGGCATTGAGTGACGTGGGAATCCTGCGACAGAAGAAACAAGATCCATGCCCTGCCAGGCTTTCCCACGTGGGCCGCAGGAGTTTCCAGCCCTCACGTTAGGGCTACGATGGCTCCTGAGGTCCTGAATCTAGTGACCCCCAGAGAGGCACTGAGCCACCGTCCTCTGCAGCAGGCCTAGCATAACATGTAGCAAGTGAGAACGGGGATCCCCACCGACTTAATTAGAATCACTTTTATGTGTTTTTTAAAAATCATTTTATTGGGGACTCGTACAACGCTTATCACAATCCATCCGTCCATCCTTTGTGTCACGCACATTGGTACATATGTTGCCATCATCATTTCCAAAATATTTTCTTTCTACTTGAGCCCCTGCTATCAGTTCCTCTTTTTTCCCCTCCCGCCCAGACGTCTTCTTTTACTGTCTATAGAGTCCTGCCAGGTAGGGAGCAGACATATGGCTGGCAAGGCAGCCCCATCCCTTTCTATGGTGCTCCTTCCCTGGGGCGGGACATCAGTGTGGTTGGCACTGGGCACACCTTTGAAATAGATGGCATCATAACAATGTTCTGCACATCGCTGCACACGACGCTCGCCATATTGCAACCTCAGTGTGGATTTTGTCGTATGGCAACACATGCTCATACGCTCTTCATACCATCTTGCTTGTGAAGTACGGCTGCTTGCTCACTACTTAAAACCCTAGCAGACAGGTCCTCAGGGGGTCATTACCAGCCCATGTAATAGTTGTATCTAAGGGGCAAGGGGGCGGAAAAAAGCCATTGTATATCATGAAGAGCTCTTTGTCTGGGCCCCAAACATTTAACTACATTTGGATACCAGTTTGCATTTCTTTCTCTTAGTAAGAAAAGAATTCAAGAAAAAAGGATGTCAACTTCAACTTTCTGAGAGACATCTCCCTTCCATCCTCACATAGCCTCCAGGGAATCCCTTTAGCTCTATTTGTTGAAGATAACGCGCTCCGAGGATTTGGCAGTCAAATGAGAGTTCCATGTTCTTGTTTCCTTTTTTAGGAAGCACTGATGATTTTTAATTCTCAAAGCCTTGCCAAGTATTTGAAAACGGTTGAAGAGCTGAAAAGCAGCGTCACGGAGGAAGGAAAGCTCTCTTTGGAAGAAAGGAGTAGAGAAGTGTGTGCCAAGTGGGAGGTAAGAACATGCGTGCGTATCTATCTGGGACTTACGCTTACAGGTCTGATGCCGACCTGTTCGTCGTCAGACCTTCCTGGTGGTGACTCGCCCCATCAACTCTGGGTCCCTGAGGAGCTGAGTCTTGGGAACTGTGATTCCCTGTCTCCCACATCATCTGGCTTCTGCTGGAATTCAGCCAATGCTAACTTTCCTACCATAGGAAAGTTAGAGAGATTAGAGGCAAGGGAATGGGTATCTCTCTGTCTCTGGGGCAGTGTTTCTGGTGAGACCTGTGTCTCCCTCTGATCCCAGCTCTCGCTGTGGTTCCTGCTTCTGACGAGGAACCCTGGCCCCCACTGAGTCCCTTTAGCCTAGGTGTGGTAGCCGCTATTGATCTCTGGGTTGCTTTACTGTCCCCTGCTCTTTCGTCACTGCTGATGTTTCGTTCTGCTGATGCAGAGTCTCTGCTATTTCATCACTCATCAGCTCCCTGCACCGAGTCCCTCTGCATTCGATATTTTGGGTGTTTTCTGTTTTCCTGACTGAGCCAACATACTGCCACACAAGGAATATCCTAGTGAAATCGCTATAGGATTTGGTGTTAGACAAGCATAGATTTAGCAATGATGGCACTCGGCACGTTGCTTTACCTCTTGGAGCCTCATAGTGAAATGGGCAAAACACTACTTGGCAGGATGGTTGTAGATTTAATGATAAATTATAGAAGCAACTGCCACAGACAGTATTTTCAATAAATCATAATTGTTAAATAAAATATGTGTGATGTATGATATCTATAAAGGAGGCTTCCAAAAGTTCATGGAAAAATTCTGTTGTCTCGTAATTCCATTTTCCATGAAAGTTTTGAAGCCCCCTCCTATGTATTAATACACAGAGTCAGATAATTGTTTGAATTTCTACTCTTAAGGGTTCTTCTAAAACACAATTAATAAACTTTTAAGTTTACAGAATTCTAGCAAAGATAGTACAGAGAGTTCCGGTATTCTACATACCCCAAACCAAACAAAGCTCCCCATCACTGAGTCGATTCTGATTCATGGCGACTTCAACTCTTTACAGGAGGAGACAGCCTCATCTTTCTCCTTGCAAGCGACTGGTGGATTTGAACTGCTGCCCTTGTGGTGACCAAAGTGTAACCACTACACCATCAGGGCGCCTTTCTCTATATCCAGCTCCCCTTATTATAAACATCTTAGTTTCATATAGTACATTTGTACAATTAATGTATCAACAATGATGCATCATTATTAACTAACACTGATACTTCATTCAGATCTCTACAAGTTTTCCACAATAACCTTCTTCTGTTCAGGGATCTTTTCCATGAGACCATATTACATTTAATGGTCATGTGTCTATAGACCCTTTTTGATTGAGGTAGGTTCTTAGATTTCCCATGTCTTTCATGACCTTGACAGTTTTATGGTATATTGGACAGGTATTTTGTAGCATATCTCTCCATTAGGATTTGTCGGTTAAGTGATAAGGTTGGGGTTATGACTTTGGGGGAGGGACACCACAAAGGTTCGGTATGAGTGCCAGGATAACTTAAAGCCGTTCACTGCCCGCGAGTCCATTCCCACACATGGTGACTCTGTGGACAGGGTGGAACCCCAGAGGGTTTTCTCCAGTGTTGAGTTGTCTAGAAGCAGGACTGCTATTTCTTTGTCCTCTGGAGTTCCGGGGGTGGGTTTGAACCAATGGCTTTTCCGCTAGCAGCCAACAACTTTCAATACAACAGCTCCTAATAACAAGGAAGCATGGTATCAATAATGGCGTTTGACTGCTGATGTTACGTATCGCAGTGGCCACCAATGTTAAGTGATTGTGAATAAAACGTCTAATCAATATTTGTGTGCAAATGTTTGTAAGTTTGCAGCTCCGTTAGGTTAACTCCAAGGAGCACAATGACTGGATCGTGTGGCACAACTGTGATTGGTTTGATTAGAAATACCAAACTGTGTTCCAAGGTGACTGTGCCATTTTGCATTCCCAACATAATGTTTGTTAATGACAATTTTGGCTGCCCAGATCCTTGTCAGTATTTGGGATCGTTGGTGCTTTGTGATTTTAGCCATTTAGCATGGACTCAATGGCGGTGTGTTTGAGTGTGACTGTAACAACTGTGGGTTACGGCATCTCAGTGTTTTCATTTGCAATTCCCTGATGACAACTGATGTTCAACAATTTTTCGTATGCCTGTTTTCTGCTGGATTATCTTCTTTAATGAGATGTCTGTTCATATCCCTTGCCCATTTTTAATTTGAAATTTTTTTCCTTAATGATGAGTTTTAAGACTTCTTTGCATATTTCATATATAAGTTCTTTAACAGATATGTGTTTTGCTAATACTTTTTCCCATTTTATTCTCTTAACATTGCCTTTTATAGATAAATCTGAATTTTAGTTGTTAGGAAAAAAATTGTTTATGGATTTAGGATGTTTTGAAACGTCCTCCCCCAAAGACCTAAATATGAATCAGAATATCATTTAAGCTCTGTTTATTGTCTGTGTTACTGTGATTATTTTATTGTATTTTAATAAGAACTTCCCAGTATATTCTGTTCCATGGCTAATGTGTGCCTTTGTGTTTTGTTTTTGCAGTCCATTCATCATGAACTGTCTCTATATATTCAACAGCTAAAAGTAGACATTGAAAAGGGAAAACTCACTGAGACTATTTCAAAACTTGAAAAACAATTAAATAAAGAAAAGAAACTAATTCGTAGAGGAAGAACCAAGGGTCTCATTAAGGAACATGAGGTAAAAGTCACCCGTTCCCATTTAGATTTTGCCATTTTGCAGTGTATCTTAAATCACTGCGTGTGCCCTTAGTCTTGGATTAAATGTGTGCTGAAAATTCCTTCAGCCTCCGGTCTTCTGGGAATGATGGCTTATGTCGTTCGCGTCTTTGAACTAGAATTCGTGCTTCTTTCTTTTTGGGGAATGACGACCAATCAGCACTGAGGCTGTGTTTGGTGACGTCCCGTGAAGTGTCATTGCCCTTGAGCCTCTGGCTACAAATGTGTCATTGGAGTGCCCGCAGGTCGCGTTGCTCAGGACAGAGTATTCTCAGCAGCGTGGCTTTTCTGAAAGACAGCAAATCAGGGTCTCAGGACCGCACCAGTCGGGGCAAATCAGAGCATCTGTTTTTGATCCTCATCCTATTGACCGTGCTGACCACTTTAACATTAAAAAAAAATTTTTTTTTCTTTTAAAACTTCTGCTCTGGCTCTCCCCAAATCAATCTTTGTGGCTACTCCTTATAGTCTTTTCAGTATCCTTCACAACTTCCCATGTTTATGGCGCTTTCTTCATGTGTTGGTTTCCTTCGACTCCACTTTTGACTAATTTAAAGCTTTGCCTGCGTAATGTTCCCCGCTGCAGGGTTTAACCGCTCTAGTGCTGTGGAGGCCCCGGTAGCACAGAAGTACTTAAGCACTCAGCTATTCGCTGAAAGGAGGGTACAAACCCTCGCTGAAATGAAAGATTACAGCTTCTCAGACTCCGTGGGGCAGTGCTACTGGTTGCCGTGGGTTGGAATCAACGTGGCGGCAAATATGGGGATTGTGACGAAACCGTAATTTCCAGATGAGGCCTTTCCCCGGGGCTCCAGGTTCTAGCTGGCATCTCCAGTGGTCCTCAGAGAGCTCAGCCCAGCATCGGTACTGGTTTGGGGCCTATGGAATACCGACTGTTTCCAAGTTCTGAGTGTCTGACTTACGTACGACCCAGAGTTATGAAACAACCCCCTAAAGACCTATTATTTTAACATTTCGAGGTGCATACAAGGGTTCATAAGAACAAATAGACACTATTTTTGTAACCAAAACGTTATTATTACTAATGTCTTATTAGATTTAAGATGTCTTGACCTATGTGGAAGTGTTTCCTTATCGCTATTTATGCATAGAAAGGCCCATTTTGTATAAAGACAAGCATTTGACTGATCAATGTTTATTATGAATCGGATGGATCTAACTTTTTCGACTGAGGTACAAATGGGATCGACTTGGAAGTAGAACTTGCTCCTAATCTAGGGACTGCATTTCATTCTGTAAACCCACTCTGAATCCATTTCTGACTTCATTTCTTTCTCAGGCCTTCTTTTCTGAGGAAGGCCATCTGCACCAGCTGGACTACCACATGCAAGTCCTCAGGGAGATATGTGAGGAACTGACTTCACAGAAGAGCCAACACCAAGTGAAGAGAGCGCTTACCGATTATCAACAGAAGATAGAAAGACTTCGGAAATCTGCATCTGAGATTCATGGGGCCCTCCAAGCCACCCCCGGAGGCGTGTCTAGAGACAAGTTAGTGCTTCACATGAAGGCCTTACTTCTTTAGGGAAAAGCAAGATCAAGCATGTTGGCAAAACCAATACCTTATCAATACATAGGCATTCTTTAGTCTCTCTTTTATTTCATTCCCCGCCGGCTCTATTTTAATATAGGCTTTTGTTTCCATCCCAGGGAAGGCATGAACTCATCTGAGAATGGAGGAGGAGACGCCCACAGTGAAGCACCATTTGCCAAGTCAGATAATCCGCCACCAGCTGAAAAGGTATTCTGTGTGGCTGATGTATTTTAGAAGTAAACTCAATGAAAAAAGGCTACACAATAATCCATTTCTCAAGTGTTGGTTTTTTTATCTAATTGCTTTCATTAATTGGGAATTCCCACATTTAAAATCCAAGCATGGCTGTTTTCCAGAAACTAGCACGCAATGAACCAAAGCTCTTGCCTGCCTACTTCATCTTTTTCCTGATGATTCACAAGGCACTTGCCAACTTGGCAAGTATGAACCATTGTGAATACATCTTGTCTGTGTGCACTGCGACTGAGGATAGATGAGGCATCTGTGATGTCTCAGCTTCTGTTTATCCTTTGTCTTTTTGCTTCCCCTAAAAATTGAGATTTTCAGTTTCTGGAAATCTAGGGAAGTAAACCTTGACTGTATATTATGGACCAGTCAGAATGTGTGGGGAAGGAATGAGCTATATTTCTTTCCAGCAGTTTGCATCTGCCTTTGACCATGACTGTGGTCATGGGCAGAAAGAGCAGGTAGGCGCTGTTGCCTTCCTTTCCTGCGCTGTTGGAAGGTGCGAGACTCCATCAAATAGACCCTCTGTGCTGCGGGAAGGCCTCCTCTGGACTGAGAAACCTCAGAGACACTGTGTGGTCGCCCAATTTGAGGTTATGGGAAAAGCAGTGCCATTTTCTTTGTAACATAAAAAAATTTTCCGTATGTATTGAACACCTCATATTTGTTGGCTTGCTCATTTGCTTAGGCAATGGAACCAATGGCAAATGTTAGCCCGGAATCAGAATTAACATCTCAGCATGAAGCGTGCACTGTGGAAGAGGATGAAAAGGGTTACAGTACACCTATCAACAGCCTACTAGAGAGGTAAACGGGGGAAATACCTCGGTTATTGGCTTTGCATGAGAAAGAATTCACGCCGAAGCCTGGTTTGTGATCCAAGTGGGTTTTTATAAGGGATAGAAGTTTGGGATTTTATAGTCACTGAACACGGGCAGCCGCACGGGACTGCACACCCACACGCGGTGGCCTGAGGCCAGAGAGAGACCTTGGCATGGCCAAGGGGAAGGCGGAGAAGCAGCCGCATGGCCCTGTGGTCTCGAGGTTCCTATCTAAGGCCGTCGGCTTGGAGGCGAGGTCGACAGTATTGGTTGACCCCATTGGCTGAATTAAGCCTATCTGGCCTAGTTTGGGCCCACCCAGGTGTACAGCCCACCTGGGTCTGGCTTGAATTAGCGCATGCCCATTAGACACCCGCTTCTCACCACATAACATAAACATATTAAACTTTAGTAAGTTTAGGGTATCTTTTCATAGTCATTTTTACCTTTGTCTTGAAGCTTAAAAAAGAATGGTCATAGGATTTCCTCATGCACAGTTACAGCAATTAAAAATTTTTTTTGTCTTTTCCATGAAAAACTTTTGTTTTGTTTTTGCAGGTATGATATGCACAGAGAGAATCTGGAGTGGCACCTGCAGAGTGACAGACGCAGGATCACGTCTGATTTCTCCAGTGACAAGGAAACCAGCGGCGGTTGCCTGCAGGAGAAACTAACAGACCTGCAGGTAATTGCCGAACACTTGACTTAGCTTCTATCAGAAAACAATCCCACCAACAGTATAGGCTCTTTCTTGAGGTCCCGTATGCTAGACATGCTCGAAGACCTGTCTATGTTGGATTGCTTTTCTGATGTCACCTTATTCCAGAAAAGTACAAAAATCCTGGAAGGTCTCTGTTTGTCGGCCCTGACTTATTACTCATATTGATTCTCTAGATATTATGGCTTGCAGCATTTTTTAAAATTGTGCTTGCGGTGAGGATAAAGGTATCAGATAATTTGGTTGAAAACAATGTGTTTGAAGGAGGTTTCAACCAACAGTTCCTATGGGTTCCAAAATCAGCAATACACAAAAAATCATTGATTTCAAATATTGGTTTCAATCATTTGTCATATTAACCAAATTGTCACATTGTCCAAAATTATGGTATATCAATTGTTAGCTGCCTGATGGTGGGCAGTGAGGAAGGAGCAGGCAGTTTGGGTAAGGTGACCACATTTGAACATTGGTAAAGCGAGACACCATTGATAAAACTCATA